CCTAACGTGTCATCACGTGGCATATGTCTCGTCTGACTGGGGTGTAGTGCTGACAATTGCAGTACCCCATAAGGAGCCATACACATGCTGCAGTTTTTGCGTGAGTGTGTCTTTAGTTGTGGCGATTCAATTTGTATTCTTATCTCCTTTTTTCCTCCTTACGTGTATTTTTTTCTGTCTCAATCCCCAATTAAAGTCAATCAGCTCAGTGGCGATCTGCTCATCTGGCACCACCTCCGATGTGATAGCAAAACATATCAACCCGGTATTGTGTGATAGAAGAAATGTGATAAAAGCACGAATCCAAGTGATGAAATATTATAAATAATATCAACAACTACCAATGGATCAACCTTATAAACAGCACACATACTGTATTTATGCATTTAATAAACACTTCTCTTGCATCATTAGTGCAGGGATTCTCCATGACACTACAACAAGTGAAAATAAGTTGAAACAGAGTGATGTTATTGAGGTTTCTCCCCTGCTCCATGTGTTTTGGCAGTTTCTTATCAACATTTTTCCCAAATATTGCTTCCTCTGCTTTTTGTGACACCAGAGAAGAATGTTATAATGTGCTGCCTGAATTTGATTTCCCCATATGGATGGGTTCATGTAGCGCTGACGATGCAGGATGAGTTTAGTAAACTGTCCAAAGAATAAGTTGGCTGTCCGATGTGTTGTGACATGTTTTTAGTTGTTCTCGCACAAAAAATTGAAAAAGCTGGGCTAGAGGCATCGATGGGGCCGAAGAGACTTTCTGAGCTGAAGTGTTTGTGTATGTGTGTTTGTGTATGTGTGTGTGCTCTCACAGGTAAACTGATTTTGTTTTTTAAAAGCAGCAGTTTCTGAACCTTTGGGGCGGATTCTGGATGGGCCCCACAATTAATTTACCTTTTCAACCTTTCAGCTCTGCCTCCTCTTTTGCAAACTTCTCAGGCTATCCTGCACCCAGTGGGAGACCCCTCACCCAACCACCCAACCCAGTCTCAAGGCATTTCGTGTTCACCAACACGATTTTTAATCTATTGATTCGTGTTTTCCCCTTTTTTTCTTGTTGCACAGCACGATTTTAAAAGCAATGTATTTCTATTGGTAGTCTCACGGCATTACGTGTTATAGGAAGACCGGAAGCTGTGTGGTTCATAAAAACATGTTCTAACTCAATATCAAGCCACAATTATTGCTTTTATTTTAAATCTTATAATTTCTGACATTTGTTGCCGTCTGTGAGGAAAATAAATGGGGCTGAGAGCCTCAGGATACTGAAAGCTGTATTTTTTAAATCTTTTTTTCCTTCTAATTTGTTATTCTTTTCAAAATAACACACTGTTATTTACTCAACAATAACACATAATTATCCTTGTTTTTATTTATTGGTTTATTTCCATAATCTCGTGATTTTTTTACGTCCGTCAGGAAATGAATTTCATAATAAAAATAACCGGAAACAGACGTAGACCTCTAGGAGTTTAGGATGGCCGAAGACACTACACTACCCATAATCCCCAGCTATCGTTTAGGACTGCAGTCCCCGTGATTAATCTTCAAGCTCTGGGATTGGATGTTGGAGTGGCAGTGCGTCAAGGTTAGCCTAGCGTCAAACAGTTGTTTGAAATGGAACGAAACCACGCCAGACTATCCAAAACTGGAATCGAACGCCCCCCCCAGAACTACACATGCTGGCTATTGTGTTTCACAAAATGTTCTATGGGACGTCTCTACTGAACGTTTTCGTTTTTCCCACAATTAGAAGTTGCCGTGACATTAGTGTTATCAAATGTAAAACATATAATTAATACATGGGTGAAAATCGCTTGTGTCCATAATGCGCAGCATTAATATATTATATACCCACATGACATCTCATTGTTACTTTGTAATTCTACTCCACTACAATACAGAGGTTAACCTGGTATTTTTACTCCACTATACTTATTTGAGTTACTTTGCAGATTCTGATTAATGATGTAGAATATAAACAACCCTTAAATCAGACTTTAGTTGCACCTGAGTAAAATTCAGGGAAGGTGATTGTCAAGTGCCAACAATCAGGAGAGATATTTGATAGTTGGTGCTTGAGAAGACTAAACATTTATCTGCAATTGACATGAATGGAAACGAGTAATAAAGTATATTCATTACTCGTTATTCTCTACTAATAGTTAATTAAAGACTGTATAATGGCTATTTTGCACATCCCTTTCAAGATTTTCAAAGGTTATTGACATATCATATACACAACTACGGTGTATGCAATGAATGAAAATCTTGGGTTACAGGTTCCTCAACAGCGCATTACAAGACATCTATCAATATGTGTGTACCTCCACCATTAAACTGTCATATTCTGCACATTTCTTATACTATCTACATACACTGAACAAAAATATAAACGCAACACTTTTGTTTTTGCTCCCATTTTTCATGAGATGCTTCAACATAGTTAACATTGCAAAAGCAATATATTAGACGTTAAGTACTTTGTCAGGCTTAATATTTATCTGTAGATACCCCCAAAGCTTTTTTCTTATTTAAAAAAAGACCTTAATCTAAAGTATTATTTAATGTTTAAATAAAGGTTAATTCGTTTGTCTGTTTTGCACTTCCTCCTATTAATATCTTTGTACATCCTGCACTAAACTGTTTTATTGTAGAGATCACTTAAATCTCGTTTAGTCACAGACCACTGTGTGCTTTGTACGGTACTCCTGACCCAACTTCGGTGGCGGTGTCAAGGTACACGTAACTGAAATGTACATTAGACCGGCGCGAGGTAGGGGTGAAGGGTTTTTAGCGTAGAACAGGCGGCTAAGCACTTGCGTTGTATTCTACAAAAACTACGTAAAGATTACAGTATAAAAAATCAATTTTACCCGGAAATTTCTCAAACCAAGACCTGATGGGCCATCCTCTACTGGGTCTGTTTGTATTATGTCATGATGTAATAGAATACTCTCCTCACCAGAATGTTCACCTCGACTTACAACCCCACCAAGTTGGGTCAGAGTACCGTAAGAGGCACAAGTGGTTGTGCTTAAAATTAGATAACTGGAGGCACAAGTGTGTTGTGCTAAAAGGGGGAAAAAAGCACAACGGGTGTCGTGCTAAAAATTTCGTTACATAAATTATACCATCAGAGTGCCGTAATGCACATATATCTCTTCTGTGTCTCTTCCGAACGACTCAAGTATTTTGTGAGCAAGAATGAGTTATCGTTCGGTGTTAATAACCAACAAATAAAAGTTTAGCGTATTAAGCCTGAAAACGACGTGCAGACACTCTCTTTTTATTACCTCGGTAGCTGGGAGTTCTATGACGTGTTAGACATAATAAATTAGAATATATAAAGTGAGATTAAATTAAGAATAAGTTATTGTGTGACAATAAATGAGTGTTACGTGTTGTAATATCGAACAAAAATAAATTAAACAAACCATAGGTAGTAAAGTATCCGATATATAACGGCCTTTATATGGTCTCTGTCTGTCACGTTATATAGTCTCGCTAATGGGTCTAGGAGTCGATACCAAATTCGAGTGACTATATCCTTATCTATATTATCTGGCGTACGTACAACCCTAACCACAAATATACTTACTTTAGCTCTTTTTGTAATTTTTATTTTTATTATCGAATTAAGGGCTCACAAGAACGAAAAGAGAAATCTTAGTTATGTGTTTTGCCGTGACATTATGTTGCTCAAGCCTGACGTAATGTATAATGTCTAGCGGCATCAAGAGATAAATATGGGCGGACTACTCTTCCTGCAAAGCTCTTTGACCTTTACCGGTCGGCTTTGCCTATGAACTGCACCTAGTATATAATTAGTTGTTAATTTGTTGTAGGAAGTTAAATAGATAGTGTGTTTGCAGAGGAGCGTCATAGTTTCGATTAAGTCAACTGAAAATGTAAACTAGATTAAGTTCTATAACCAAATATAAATGTGGTATTGCCACGTGTCGACTATATTTCTACTATCAAAATCTTATAATGACTATAAAGAAACTTATACAGACTGACTTTATCTATGTATACGACATTTTTTATACTTTTTACTATTTGTATTCCCGATGTGATTATTATGTTTCAATAATACCAACACATGGAACACAGTGGCGGATCACCAATTTTCGTGCAATAACTTAATAACAATTAAATCCAAATATAAACTAATTTTTTTTAATTGCTCATGTATGAAAGTCATCCCCCTTTCATCTTCCAGTTTACTATCGTATGTTTTTTAGGTTC